TCGGGACGGTCTTGGAAGCCTCGGATAAACTTAATCAGAGTACACGACAACTCAAGGAATCGGACGCGTTCAGCAACATGGCGAGGGTCACTTCGGAAAATTAAAACACAATTTCGGCAAATTGCCTAGTGGCAATGAAAGCAAATGAAAGCAACAAAACACACATTCATTAGCGGTGTCTACGGGAAAGAGAATGCAGGAAATCGAAACAATATCGCCCTCTCTCTTATAATTAATGGAACAGGAAATAGCAATAAGGTTACCTTGCAATAACACGGAGCGGTGGAAATTACTGTGTAAGAAAAAGGAAAAGCTGTAGATACGGTGCGGTACCTAAACTAATGTAAAAGTAAAAATTAATCGGTGTAAATGCAAAATAAGCTTAAACTTACGGTATTTACGAAACGTAACTAGCAAAAATGTAAAAGGTAAAAGATCCTCTCTAATTTAAGCGTTTACCTTATCTACATTTCCCAAAATACGGAGAGGGAACGTAGGAAACTCCCGGCCGGCCGGTGTATTCGGTTAAAAACGTCCAAAAGTTAAAAATTTTTTAATTAACTGTGCCACCTACTGACGTGTGTACCTAATTGGTCTTAAAATTCAAATTAATTAGAGAGTTTCTTTTGAAACTCCTCACACATTAGCTACTTTTAATTACACTTACTTAATTAGCCAGATTGAAATTTTCAAAATTCGTTAGTCCAGTTAACACCTAAGTATTGTTAAGTGATATGTTGGGATCAACCGGCGATATCAAGCTGATAAACACCTAAACTGTAAGGCCTGGACTGGTTTTAAGCTTGGTTTTCATATACCATTCGAAACCGAAATCTAATAATTGCTTAACGGACTGAAATTCTAAAATATTAATTCGCCTCGTCTTCTAAACGACACGAGTTTTCGGAAACAACAAAAATAATTGAAATATCGAACGATTGCAAACGCTCCTAGATACCAAGTAGTCATCTACAGAGTGATCACTAAAACTGGTAACTACAAATCAGAAAACGAGTGCTTCGTTAAAGGGGATAATTAATGCTGTATAAAGATAAAGATACAGACAAATTCAGTAATCACATAAAACATATTTCGATAAAATATCACTTTATTCGAGATATAAAAGAAAAGAAAAATATCAGAAAACAGTTTTGCACCCTAGTAATTCGAGACGTGGAATTGTTAAAGATTTTAATGCTACTACTGTACTATTTGCACAGGCAAGGAAAACTCAATTTTTTCAAGGCTTTCTACACGAAAATAAACTGAGGTACTATTACCCATGGCAGAATCTATAGATTCACCTTCGAAAATTATCTCATAGAAATTCTAGTTTGGAAAGTTTAGGAATTTCAGTTTTAATTTTGACCCAATTATCAACAATGTTTTGTAGGGGTGACTCATCTCAAACCAATTTCCACACACTCCATAAGATATTTTGTACAAAGAACAATGGGGCTTATAACTTTTATTTCCCAGCAAAAATGTCACGAGGTCTTTCTCTGGTCAACTCTAGGGTCAACTCGTAATCCGGAATTTAAAAAGTTTACCCAGAGTTGCACATTTAACTCTCCCCTAGCCCAGAAACGAATGCCCCCAAAATTTCTTCCCTCTTCCTGCCCTACGAATTATGTGAGAGCTAAGGTACGATTAAATATGCTACGCATTTCCCACAATACCAAATGCTTATTCTTTAATTTGCGCAGATAAAACCAATGAATATAAGAAATTTAGCTCTTATTATCCAGACATTCTGAAGCCAGACTTCCTAAAGCTATTAAAAGTTCAACCCACTTTAGATTTCAAATGACGCAGAAAAACGATCGGTAATTAACTACTTACATGTTGTAAAATAATTCCACCAGTTACACAATTTATTAGAAAATTCGACCCTTTAATTTTGACACCCTGTAGACTTTTTATGATATGAACTGTGTAAACTGTTCGAACCTTTAAAATCACAAAAATTTCAACTTTACCTATCTCTATAAAATTCGAAGAAATAAAACCAATTTTAGAGCTACCGTTACACAAGTTCAACCGAAAGTTACAGAAGTGTTTATTTGGACAAGGCCGAGCCAAATAATTTGTTTAATATGTAATATTATATAACAATGTAAACCAGATCAGGCGAACGTTATTAAGGCTAAAATAATACCGAAGGTAATAACGCGTCACCCCGTATACTCGTATGCGAATGTTTTAATTTAATTTAAATCTAGAAGATTGGTTTATTTAATCGTAATTTGTTTATTTGAGTTGTAAAACTTCAATTTGCGTGTTAGAATGTACGGAACATCTGGTCGGATGCATTTAAGTGCTATCTGGACCTTCTTATCGCAATGATTTCAAGACGCACGTGTGTTTGGCGCTGATAACAAAGGATACAGGTGTACGATTTATTTTGCGCGTGTTGTTTTATGGAAGAGGGGACACCTCAAGCGTTCCTTATTGGTGTTTCATTTGAAATTCGTGGAAGTACGAGTATGATGCTTTAGTGGAAGTGGTGTTTTGTTAAATAGGAAAAATAACGACGACGAGAAAAGAGCGTGTACATTTCTGTACGCTAATTTTGCCAAGTAAAGTTTCGGAATAAATTTTCTTGTCGTTGTCAATCAACTAATTGCCCGTTTATTTGAATCCATTGTACGACCCAGATGGTTCTTATGTTCAGATTTTTTTCTATTTGTGCCCAAGATTTATCTCAGGTGTATCTCATTTGTGTGATTG